CGTTTGGCCACCGAGCTGCTGGTGCCTTGTAACTGAGTGCACATCTGGGTTCATTGTGAGTGCAACGAACACCACCGAGTCATTGCACACTTCAACGGTTAAGATGTCAATGATTTTATTTGATATATTTTACCACAATAAAAAAAACGAGAGAGAGAGAGAAACTAAACAAAAGGCTGACAGAGGGAGAAGAAAAGCAGGATTTTGCCAGGAAGTGAGCCCGCGTTGCTTGGTGCAGGGCTCACTCTCATTGCTAGTTAACTCGCGAGGCTGACTAACTCAGAGCGCCAGACAGAGGCGGCTAAACAAACTCAAAGGGCTTGGCGTCATCTCTCTCTCTTTCCAGCAGCCCCTTTCTGCCAATGAACTTCTCCCATCTTTCCATCTCTGGAATGTCCTTCCTCAAAGGCTGAGGAAAGCCCCTGGACTTGGCTCTGTCCTTCCACCCACGCCCATGCTGGCCCTCACGCTGCCCCCGACAAGTCCCTACCAGCGTGAAGCTCTTGGGTGAGGCTGCCCAGCGCTTGACCGTGGTCAGGGGCCACTCTTGCAGCACCTCCTTGGTCTTCTCATCCACACGCATCACCGAGTCCTTGGTGATGCCCAGCAGGCGGGGCGCCAGCTTGTTCTTGCCTTTCATCTTTTCCTGAAACAGGAAGTACCAGCGTCACGACTCTGCCTCTCAATTTGGTTGAGCCATGAGTGATCCTGCTGTTTTATCTGTGGTTAACCCACCCATACTGGGCGTCAAAACAGGCAGAGCCATTTGAAAAGTAGATTGTGAGGCGGGGAGAAGAGCTCACTAACTCGAATGGAGGGAAAGAATCAGAAAGGCTAAGACAGAGATGTTCCACCACAAAGGCGTGATTTCTGGGGAGAATGCCCTGCAAGGGATGCTGCTTATTAAGTGTTTGTTTTCTCTGTTTTGTGTTTTTTTAATTAATATTAAATTGAAGTTACAGAATGGGATCACTACTGATAAGAATTAAAATTGGCAAAGCTTCTAAGGAAGAAAAATGTATTAATATCCGCACGAAGTCTTCAACACACCTCAGTTTTAGGAACTTATTTCTTTGACAAAGTCTTATATGTGTGACAAGGATTATGGTACGAGAAGGCTGACCAGAGTTTATCATAATGAAAAACTAAGAACAACAACCTGAATATTTAATTGATAAAGGAGATCTCATTAGTGAAAAATGACACTCCCAAAATAACAGACAACTCTGTAACTATTGAATGTAAAATATTCCAGAAAAACAATTTGTTTTGTGTAAATAAATTATTCAAAGCATGGTATATTATAAAATGTTTAGTATGATCTTATGTGAAATAAAATTTCAATGGGCATATATATACTACATTTAAAAGTGATGGCAGTGATAATCTCTTATGATCTATCATTTTCTTACACTTCTCATTATTTACAAAATTTTACTTAATGCATATATGAATATTTCTACTGCTGTTGGGTAGAGAACAAAAACCTCCCAGAACACCAGTGCCAATCCTAGTATTTACTGATACAACTATCCTCAGGGGAACAGATAAGGGTGTTTCCAAAAGTCTGTGGAAAAATTCCAGTATCTTTTAATTCCATTTTTTTAATAAACTTTTTAAAGCCCTATTGATCAGACTCATGAAGGGAGGAAAAGAGAAAAAAATACTAAAAAAAGAGACAAGAAAAAGGCAGGCGGGACAGAGAGGGAAGGGCAGAATGAAGGAAGGAATGGCAGGGATTCTCAATACATTCTTTTCTCGGTATCAGTAATACTGTAAAAGGAAAATCTTGGTTGGACCATGCCTCCAACCAGAATCAACTCACCTATAATTCTGTAGGTCTCATTCTATGAACCGTGTGCAGATTTTTCTTTGGAGAGCAAAATTCCTTTCTCTGCAATTTGCTATTCAATCTCTCTTCTTGTCTAATTACATGTAGTGTGCTGTTTATGACTACATTTACTGACTTATACGCAGGCGGCATAACATTTCTTTAGCACAAGACTGGAGCTGACTGTATGGGAAGGCTAACGGTATTAATGGGGAACGATTAGGCTGCAAGAGATGAATTTCCTACCAGAAGGACTCCACAAACACTCAAGAAGGCAGAAGGAAATCGGGTCCAAATGATTAGACCTGCTGAGAATGTGTTTCATCTTTGTCCTGGGGAGGTGTTGAGACTCATGTACCACTGGCTGCCCTTGGGAATAAAGAATGGGAAGAGGCTGTTTCTCTCAGTTAGCAAACACACAGATCGCGCCGTATGTTCCTCTGCGTGTTAGCTGGAAGCTGGAGGGGTGCTCAGGACGGTGAATGCAGGTGACGACATCTCGGCTGAGGTCATCCTAGCTAAAGCAGCAAAGGATCGTGGGATGGGATGAAGGCCTTTACAGTCAACGAGACCCAACTCCAAGTCGTGGACCCTTTAGCACGTAGACTTGCGCCCTTAGCTCTCATTTGCTGTCTCTGGCTTCTATTTTCTCATTTAAAATAAGGAGACATCGGACATGGCAGGATATAACAAAATAAACAATTTATAAATTATCAAGGGCTCATGAGGGAGGGGAGAGCGGGGAGGGAGGGGGAAAATGAGGAGCTGATGCCGGGGGGGCTTAAGTGGAGAACAAATGTTTTGAGAATGACGAGGGCAATGAATGTACAAATGTGCTTTACACAATTGACGTATGTATGGATTGTGATAAGAGTCGTATGAGCCCCTAATAAAACGATTAAAAAAATAAGGAGATAATATTCATATTTTCTCATTTGGTTACTGACAGATTTAAGTGAGATAGACCTAGTTCAAATTGTTTACTACATGTTACTATTGCAATTAAGATTGGGAAGTGGAGTCATTATTACTTAAAAGATACTCAATATCACTACAACCTTTCATGGGTAGTTTAAAACTCTCAGTACATGGGGGGGGGGGATGGCTTCTGAAGTATTAGTGACACAAATAATTTGATAGATGCACGCGTTCTTCATTGACAAGGACACCAGGGCTTTCTGCCGTGTGAAACACAGCTGACTGGGTTTGTGTGTGAAATCTACATTTCTCTTTAGTGCAACACTTTTATCCCTTCGTGTCCCACGGAAGCAGCTGGCGCCAACGAGAAGGGGAATCAGGTTAGCATCGATCGCCCAGAGACGGAGTCCAATAGTCCCTTCCTCTTTCGTGGTTCTCTTTAGCTACAGGAAAAGGAAACTCACGCAAAGCAACCCTAGCTCCGGCCTTCTGACACTCGTTCCTGAAGCAGCTATGATACAAATGATTACTTGCCCGACATAAGGAGCCACGCCACACAGTGGAGCTTACTGTTGGCCAAAGGTGAGAGGCCGGAAGGAGATGCAGAGCCCCAGAAATCCCAGAGGGAACCAATGAAACCTCTGGGCTGGAAGTTGTTAAAGAGAATACAGCATCTGAGAATGGAGCCGGCCAAGGGAAGGAAGCTCAGGAGAGGATTCATCAGTCTGCATAAGGAGGATTCACTCTAAAATTGATTGTAGTGATGATTGTACAACTCTTCCTGGTATGACTGAACGATTAGAATTGTATGATATGTAGACGGTGTGCCAATAAAACTGTTTTTTTTTAAAAAGTACTATCAGAATCCATTTCTATGTGCCTAGAGTTGGATTTCAAAGACACACCGCTCTTTTTAGGAGTGCACAATGAGAGACAAATAATTCTCATCAGAACAGACGTGAAAGCCACAAATAATCCTAAAGACTCAGACTTAGGTACACAAATTAAGTACCATATTTACCGCATGAATCTGATTTGACTGTGGGCCCAACAAGACCCACTTAGCCCAGTCATCCAGGACACATTCTTAAAAGAGAAATTCACGCGTAACAGTGAAGGGCATGTCTTCAGATACTGAGTGGTGGTGTCGGTGTGCCAAGCCCAGTGCTCACCAGCCTCAGGCTCACTTGCTTCCTGTCTGAGGCACTGCTAAACGTGGGTGACCACAGGCCGCAGCACCTTCTCCAGGGGAGCTGGCATCACCGGCGTGCTAAGGTCAGGGCAGAGGTATGGCAAACCAAATTGAACGGGCAAACAGACTTCACGAGAGTTATGCAGCGACAGAGAAAAACACCATTTCCTCACTACCCCACTCACCTTCACCAGGAAAAAGGACACACCGTATGTCCGCAAGGACCGGGCGAGTTTGACATACTTGACCTTGGCTTCGATTTCACTCATCTCTCCACAGTTCTTATGCTCCTGCAGAAGGGACAGCAACCAGTTATTGCAGCTCCGTGGAGTGGGGGAGAGGTGTGCGTAGTGACACAGATGTGCATGCATGTCTACTGACCATACCACCATGTGTGTGAAGGACATCATGCATGACACGAGGCCCCCACCCAGACCAGGATTCCAGGGACACACCAACGCCTAACTAGACGTTGAGCCCAAACACCCTACAAATTTCACAACTCCGCAAGAATCCATGCTCATGCACAATGCGCCAAGGACAGTCCTTAATTATAACCACATTTTCCAAGAACTTCATGTTCCAAAAAGGCTCAGCACTAACACTTTAATGACAATATATGTATGTGCTTCTCAGAAGAGGTATCATTTTAATTTCCATCTAACACATATTTTCGAAAGAGCAGAATATACAAGGGAGCTTCAAAAAATTCATTTAAAAATCCAATCCTTCCCCACTCCATTTTTTATGAACTGTTTTTCTCTATGAATTTTTTGATGTCCTCTTTATATATAAACACCTGCACATCACACTGCTTAGAAAAAATACTGGGTTTAAAAAACCCCACAAGTTTCATAAACTTGAAATGTGTATTTCAGTTTGCATTTCTATTTGAAGACCTAATTACGTCGTTATCTGAGATTCACTGGAGTGATTGTGTCATGGCCAAGTTGATGGCAGGGCTTGTTCTACTGACTGCCTAGTGTTTAAATTTGAGACTAAACTGGGATTTTTAAGAAAGGTGCGAGTTCTCAC